ACATATGTTGAGTTTCCCGACCATTTTGTATGGAAACCGGATAACAATGTCTGGTTACCTAGACAAACTGAAGATTCAATAGGACGAATAGTGTTAGCACACCCAAGTGAAGGCGAAAGATATTTTTTAAGAATACTATTATCAAAAAAAAGATGTCCAAAGTCATACGATGACCTTAAACTTTGTAAAGGACAAAGAGTTGACACCTTTCGACAATCTGCATTACTACATGGATACCTAATTGATGATAACAGCCAACAATTATGTTTGGAAGAGGCATCAAACTTCCACATGCCATATAAATTACGAAGACTTTTTGCTACTTTACTTGTGTATACAAATCCTAACAATCCGAGAAAATTATGGGAATTATTCGAAGATGCCATGCTTGAAGACTTTGTACACTACGGTATTCTTTCGCTAACTGAAGCAAAGCGATGTGCATTTCAACAAATTAATACATTGCTACAGTCTAATGGGAGACAACTTCATGACTTTGATATATTGCCAAATGATTTATCATATGCTGATTTAGAAGATGTCACAAGAGAAGTTGCTACTGAAAAAAGTATAATTGTATCAGAAAAAGATCAAAGAGCAATACAAAATCTTAACAATAAACAAAAACTTGCATTTGATACAATAATTAGAAAAGTCGAAAGTAACAATGGTGGGGCATTTTTTATTGATGGTCCAGGTGGTACAGGGAAAACTTTCCTATATAGAGCATTATTAGCATACATACAATTAAAAGGACAAATAGCTTTAGCAACTGCAACATCAGGTATAGCTGCCTCATTACTACCAGGAGGAAGGACAACACATTCTAGATTTAAGATTCCATTAGATTTGACAGATAGGTCAAATTGTCGCATTAGTAAACAAAGTTCATTGGGTATATTGATTAAGACTTGTACAATAATTATTTGGGATGAAGCTCCAATGGCAAAAAGACAAGCAATAGAAGCCCTAGATGACCTTTTAAAAGATCTTATGGAATCAACTCAAATATTTGGAGGGAAAGTAGTTGTACTTGGTGGTGATTTTAGGCAAACATTGCTAGTTGTTCGAAATGGAAGCAAACATGATACAATTGCTGCTTGTATAACTAACTCACATATATGGCCATCACTATGTGTACTACAACTAGATGAAAACATGAGGGCATTATTAGATCCAGTTTTTACTGAATTCCTTCTAAGATTAGGTGAAGGTAGAGAAAATTTACAAGATGATGATGTTGTTACTCTTCCATCACAAATTGTCATAGCAAATAATGATGAATCACAAGGGTTAAATCTTCTAATTAAATATGTTTACCCACATATATTTGAAAATTCTAAAGATAACCCTGCATCCTTCACCTTCAATCAAGCTATTTTGACAACTAAAAATACTTTTGTTGATGAGCTAAATGATATCTTAATAAACAAATTCCAAGGAGAAGAGAAAGAGTATATTAGTTTTGATGAAACACTTGATCCAAATGACCAAGCTCATTATGAGGATCTTCTACATTCTTTAACTCCACATGGTATACCCCCCACATAAACTGATTTTAAAAGTAGATGCACCTATTATATTATTAAGAAACATACATCCAGAAGAAGGATTATGTAATGGTACAAGACTTTTTTGCAAGGAGTTTGATAGAAATGTTATTCGAGCACAAATAGCATTCAATGATTTTGCTGGAAAAGAGGTATTTTTTACATAGAATACCTTTACAACCACCTACAGGTGAAGACTACACAGTGCCATTCAAAAGAACACAATTTCCAATCAAGGTCTGTTTTGCAATGACAATTAATAAAGCACAAGGCCAAACACTAGACAGAGTGGGCATATACCTTAAGGAACCTATTTTTTCACATGGACAATTGTATGTTGCCCTCTCTCGTGCTAGAGGTATTGAAAATGTTAAAGTTGTTATCAAAGAATCTCACAAAAATCAAGAAATACATAAAACAAAAAATATCGTATATCAAGAAGTATTACAATGTTCAAAACAACAACAAGAGGTATGTATTACTATAAGTTTAATATCTGGTATGATGAAAACAAATACTAAATTCACACACATTGTTGCACATTGATTATATAAGATAAAGGACATTTCATTTTTCAAATTTTTATCAACTTTATTGAATTGAAGTCCATTTGTGAAAAATCCCCTTATATGATAATTTTCATGCAGTAATTCAATTGAATATCAGGAGTGCATTCCAGCGGTGCTAATTCCTTTCTTTGCCAACAAATTACAACACTCAATGTAAGTGATTTGCAATATCATGGTTGGTTGACAGATTACATGCTTTTAATATAAATTTTTACCATGAATATTTCCAACAGGAAAACAACTACAAAACCAAAATAAAGATTTCGGTTTACATAGGAATTCACTATTCAATGATCTGGTAAGTGCACTTTGATTTCTACATTATATTCCAATTTTCATTATTTTTCATTTATTATTACCTGATTTAAATGAAATGTCAATGACTACCATATAAATCATTATTATCGATTATAGCAATATTTTTATTATAGTATATAATAAGCAATATAGTGATCCATCTCTCTCATTAATTATATCGGTATGATTCCGTTACCTACAAAAATATATATTATCCTGATTATAGTGTTTTTTTTTTCATATTTGCACTCTATTTTAAAATGAATGATATCCACATTTATTAATTTTGCCAAAGAACTTTTTAATGCTGATGCAAGATACCTTCATGCAGAAACAACTTTACCGCATCATATCATATGACAATACAAAAGGAAAGGGAAAAGTTCAATTAATCATGCCAAGAAGACAACATGCAACATCTACAATTGTTTTATTACATAAACTTTGCAACCATTAATTGTATTGTAACGTTTCAGTTATGACTTTATTTCAATTTTATTTATATGTATATGGTCAATCAGATCATTTTCCATCGATTGGTATTTGAGGCCTAAATAGTTAATTTTCAAATTAACTCACCTGTAAAGGAAATTACTAATGATCATAATTACCAGAATTTTGATTGTCTTCATGATGCCTCTTTGAGTTAAATATAAAATACATCAAATTCAATTTAGTGTTTAAATGATAAAGCGACACCCTTCTAAACTTATTTTACTGTTTAATATATTTGAAATTTTATCATATAAGGAAACAAATATATATTTGAAGGATATAGATCAAGCTAATTATCCGCAAAATACATTTTGATATTAATCATAAAAGATCAATATGAATGGCCTAGCCCAAAGGAATGTCAGGTACAAAAAAAATTTAATAACCGGCCCTAAAGAACTTCGCCGTTAACCACATCCATTCTCCGTCCATTACATATCGCTATATACAGCTATATACAAGCCGCCGCAATCACCGTCAACTCTTACTACAGATTGACAACTTTCAACCGCTACCGACAATTTTAACTGCTAATCGATTATTATAAACTTCTTCTAACCGGAAATTGCCTAATGTCAAGTCGCGGATATAGCACATACAAACATCGTACATGGGAGTATCCTTCCCTTCTATTCCTCTTCCTATCTGTAAGCTTTACGGAAAATTACGTCAACGGTGTGTAAAAAGTAATCGGGTAAGAATTCTCTTGTATCAATTGTATTTCTTCATTCCATGATAGATTCATATACGCATCTATCTACTCTTCATCTTCTTTCTTAGTGTTTACGAACTCCAACATTCAGATGCATTATTTTAATATGAAACAATGTTCATCAAATATAACCAGTCAATTTAGGGCTTCAATGTTATTTCTTGAAAGAGACTATCAAAAAATTAGCACTGGCAATACATTAATTTCCCTTCATTTTCCCTCAAATAGTGTTAAAATATCTTAAACTGGTTCTTTCAAGACAATCCTATCTGATATAAAAGCATTCCAGTGTGAACGACCAATTACCAATTTTAACTTTCTAATAGTACCTGAGGAAATGGTTTAATTTCCTATTAAAGTAGAACAAATTCCAACCCTGCACAACAACAAATAATTTTGGGTTTCCACTAAATTACAAATCTTACAATTTGCACGTTACTGAATAAACTTCAAATTAAGGGTTTTTTTGGAAAATACATATATCTTATGTTTGAGATTTTCATTGATAAGATTAAAAAATTATTAACATATCTTATTTTCAACTTGCATATACTGTGAAACCCAGTTGGACTTCTAAAATCCTCTTCGCACTTCTCTTCACTAACGGGTATGTTCAATGTCCTTTCCATTTTTGCATCCTCGCATACACAAACTTTACTTTTCGGCAAACACTGTTAAGTTTCACTATAAATTTTCAATGCATTCCATCTATTGGCAAACATTTTACAACAGCGATTCAGCAAAAATTGCACATACATTTTGGCTGAAATACAAATGAATTATAATTTAATATAACATACAATTATTTGAAAATAAGTAACTCATACAGAATTTTTCAACGATTTATGCAAATTAAGAGTATAATGAACAAAACAATAGACACTTCCACATACAATTCTAAATCGACATTATCTAAAACCATATATATATATATATATATATATATATATATATATATATATATATATATATATATATATATATATATATATATATATGATCGATTGGCTAACATAGCCGAACATCTATTCAGTAACAGACACCTCGTTTTATATGAAAAAATTCTACTATATTGTTTATATACATTTATTTTCGATATTCTCAATGAATGTTTATTGTTTTTTTACTAATGTTACCTTCATAGCATTTTACTAAATGTTATAAACATCAAATAATTATATAAACAATGTAAATAAATGAACAACATTAATAAATATACATCTTAGATCTAAAGCTATGTAAAGATTTTTACACCTATCATATACATTGATATACCAAAGTAATTAATGCATTCCAGAACCAATTCATTTCTGTTTATTAAGAACCAATCAGACATAAAGTGGCTATTTTCACCGCACAATACGCAGGAAACAACCAATGTCAAGAGACCAATACAACATTCATGACATAATTCCAAATATGAAGAAAAATTGGACTGTCTTGATTCAAGTTTTGGAATGTGGACACATACAACTAAGTAAGGAAAGGAAAAAATTTAGAAGGCTCGTGTTTGCTGACACACATGTATACAATATATCCTTGCATATCTCACAACATTTGAATTAATCTAATCACATTGCAGAACAGGGAACAAGGGTGCAAGCATTAATCTGGAGCAATGACCTTGACTATTATGAAAATACTTTCGAACCCTACAAGCGTTATCAAATATCAAATGCTAATTTGATATACACTGAACCACGTTTTCAACTTGATTCATATGAATATTCATGGACACTAAGCAAACTGACACTCATTGAACCTTTTCAAGATGAAACCTCACCAACACTCACATGCAATTTCACCTTTACTCCCTTTAGTGACCTGTACAAATATGCAGATGAGGAAAGAGATATAAGTACGCAAAAATTACTTGTTCAATACTAATCACTCATTTTTATTATGCCCTTTACTAACTATGATGTTCAAATTGCAGATGTAAGGGGTATTGTAATAAAATGTTTTCCAAGTCAAAAGATGAAACAAGGCCAAGAGCCATCTTCAAAAAGAGATGTAATCATTGTTAACGAAGAGTATGTGGACAATTGCCCAATAACATTGAGTATGAGACTTTATTTATTTAAATTAAAAAATATTAATCATATTATTCCTACCTTTTAATTTTCAGGAAAAAACTTTTAATATTAACATTATGGAATTACATCAATGAAAATGAAGGCAATACCTTAGAACAAATAGTGGAATTCGGGCCAATGATATTCGCACTGAGAGTAAAGGTGACAACTTTCTACGGTAAGATAATGTTGCTTAGAACACAATATATATATATATATATATATATATATATATATATATATATATATATATATATATATATATAAACAAAATTTTTTAAATCATTTTTAATCTTATGTCTTATAATCACACAGGACAATCACTCTCAACAAGTAGTAGCTCTGCAATTCTTATAAATCCACCAGTGACAGATGATTTACAGCTAAAAAATTGGTACAATCCACAAACCCATTAACCAAAATTCATTTTAATTAATTCTATTTGTATTTGTCAGGTATACAAATAGCAAAACAGGAATTAAAAAACTACTTCAACAACAAACATATAAGGATACCGATATTCTGTTGCCCCCTCCCCAAGAGAGAGACATACTTCCGATAGGCGAAGCAATTACAAGAATGAAAAATGTTAGTAACAACAATATCTTTTCATGACCTTTTACACAATATTCTATACTATCATTATCTATATAAAATTTTCACTTAAAACAGGGTAAACCTACATGGATAAAAGGAAGTCTTATGTTGCCTCGTCAAGATAGAAGTTTCACACAAACAGCATGTGCCAATTGTTTAAAACCAGTTGTGGCTGATGTACAGTGGATCATCACATGCTTTGCCTGCAAAAAACAATCTAAAGTGCAGCTCTTGTAAGAGTATTCCATCATTCAATTATTTAAAAAATATTTTTAATACTAAATGATAATTCAATGTGAAGGTCTAGGGCAATAGTCGAAATCGATGATGGTACCGGTTCAATTGCAGCAATGATTTCAACGCCAGAAATTGAAAAGTTTATGAAAGTCGACTACAATGATATCAAAGATGCAGGAGAAAATGTAAGCCTATTATTTTAATATTACAATTCAAATTTAACAATTTATTAATTATGTGATCATTTTACAAACTAGGAACAAACTGTACAAAATATAATTGCAAAATCAATTGCATCATTACCACTTCTGGCATATGTACGATCATATCAGACATCAAATCAAGAAAACCAAACTACAAGATTCGTCGTTGTGAAGGCACATAGGCTCCCAGAACATCAAAACGAAAATAAACAACAACTCCAACTATCAAATAAAGAGGAAACTTTATCAACAACAAAACAGTGTTCTCCTAAGCAACCACAAAAGCGAAACCAAACAGACAGTGGGAAAGCAAAACTAACAGAAACATCTACAGCTGGCACATCAAGACCAACAAAAAAATTGAAATAGATATTAACATCTATCAAATTTAAATAAAAATTCTATACTACTATTTATATTTTAAACCGCTACTTCCATTAGATATTATATTCATCAATTTCATATGATGTTATGCTTATGTAATATACTACAAAATGATATATTATTATATTTTAAGTTTGTATATATTGTATTATTATATCAACTCTTATTAATTATTGTTGCTTCTAAACATAGTGCATATTGTAACATTCCATTACATTAAATAATGTATAATAGTTTACATCACTTTAGATCACCCCATGCATCTCTTATATAATAATCGATACATCTCTTATATAATAATCATTTCATTACAGATTTTTGAAACGTTACATTTCTAATCAATGATTTTTTTATAATAACCATTTCATCTTTATCAAATCAATGATTTTTTTCTAATGTTTCTAAATGTTTTCTAATGGTTTTTCAATAAAACACATAAGACTAAACTTGGGCCGTGCTATGCACGGGCCTCAAACTTTCTAGTATATATATATAAAGAGTGAGCAAAAACCGCACCGCAAAAACCACAACCACAATAAAAATCGATGGTGGAGTTTTCTGTTTTTCAAAAACCACAAATTTGTGGTGCGGTGTGGTTTTTAGTTTTCAAAAACCACAAAAAAAAAACCCGCACCGCATATGTTATATATAATTTTTTTAATTAATTATTATAAATAAGATAAGTTTTTTGGATGGAATAAGGATAAAATGTGGAAGACAAAAGTTTTGGTTTTTTTGTAATGTTTAACTTTGAAAAATGGTGAAATTTCACAATTTTAAGATATTTATTGTTAATTACTAGTGATTTCACGTTTTTAAGATATTAATTATTTGTGATTTAAGTTAATTGTCTTATACCTTATTCTTTTTTTTTTATTATTATTACAAATAATATATTTGAATTCTTAAAACCGTTTGAACTCTAAATTACAATTAAAAACCACACAAAATAACTACATCAAATTCATACTGTTAATAACTGAAAAAAAAAATAAATAAAACCGCACCACTAAAATAAACACACCAAACGGTTTTAAAATTTGATTAACTGCATTTACGATTAATGATGAAGTTTTGATCTAACCGCACCGATCGGTACTGCTCAACTATATTCAAACAATTTACCCATCGATAAAATGAAAAAAAAGGTTGTATTTGGACCATTTGTGATGAGCCATTCTAAGATATGGGCCTGGGTCCGAGTACCCGAAGTCTGCCGGGTCATGAATTCCTCTCTTCTTCTCCAAGTCACTTCCCTTCGCCATATACTCCCCCTAATTCATCCATCTCATATTTTTCCTATAATTTCTCAATTCAGAGAAAAGGGCATAGAGGGATCGATCTACACACACAGAGACAAAGATGGAATGCGTTTTCGGGATGGTGGGGAAAGGTTTTGCCTTGGTGGTAGCAGATACATCGGCGGTTAACAGTATTCTAGTTCACAAATCGAACGAAGACAAGATCATGGTTCTCGATTCTCACAAGCTCATGGGCGCCAGTGGTGAAGCTGGTGATCGGTGAGATTTCTCTCTCTTCCTCGTTATTTTTCCGATTCGATTGCAATGACTTTTGAGTTTTAAGTATACGACGTTTTAATTTTATCATCCATGGTATGCTAAGATCCAATTTGGAATACCGATGGATATGATTAAGGCAGCTTGCGAAACACGGAACAAGATCTCACTCTAGGTCGAACTAGAGTTTCAAATTAGAGTGAAATTAGGGTTTTTAAGAGATAAAATAATACTACTGCCCTTCTTTTTACAGCTTCCTGATTGAAGTTGATATTGGAAATCTTGAGAAAAGGAAATGCTAGCTACATTAAATTGGTATTACAAGTAGTTTCGAAATGATAGTAAATTTGCAAGAAAATCCATGTTAATAGTACTAATCTTGAAATTATCAAATTGTAATTACATGATAAACGTTCTGAAGCAAATGTCACATGGATTATGATTACAATTTACAAATGAAGCAAAAACTTTTAACAAATTGTGCAGTAAGTAAGAATGAAGAACCAGAAGGTTTTCTAAAAGGACCAATGAACTGATTCATTGTATTAACTATTAACATGAACAACTCTTTCTTCTCTTTTAATTGTTAGAGCTCAATTCACGGAGTATGTACAGAAAAATGTATCTCTGTATCAATTCAGAAATGGGATTCCACTAACTACCAAGGCTGCTGCAAATTTCATGCGTGGTGAGCTTGCTACAGCTTTGAGAAAGGTAAAACATATGTTTTCATCGGAGTGTAAGGGTAAAATGGTCATTTAGTCTCTAATTCAGACAAACGGATTCAATTTAAGGTTAACATGGTCATTTTGCAGAATCCTTATATGGTGAACATTGTGTTAGCGGGGTATGATAAAGAAACGGGCCCCTCTCTGTACTTCATTGACTACATTGCAACACTACACAAAGTTGACAAGGCGGCGTTTGGTTACGGTTCATACTTTTCTTTAGCCATGATGGACCGCCACTACCACCCTGACATGACGGTTGATGAAGCCATCGCGTTAGCCGATCAGTGCATTGAGGAGATTCGGTCAAGGCTCGTTGTGGCCCCACAAAATTTTCTCATCAAGATTGTCGATGAAAATGGGGCCCGCGAACACTCGTGGCGTAGGACTACAAAGGATTGAAACAAACATGTTTGTTGCCAACTTTGAATTTATGTTTTCGAGTTGTTTGCTTGTTTGTGTTCTTGGGGGAGATTTAGGGTGAAAAAAATGGACAACTTTTGAAGGTTTTTATTTGTTATGTGGTTGTTGAATTGTTATATGTTATGGGAAAAACTTTAGCTTTAATGAGTCTTGTTTTGATGTAGATTCGAGATTTGGATTGAAATGTGGAAGAAACTATTCCACTATGATCAATTAGAAAGCTTGAATAGTTTTAAAGAAAAACAAGGATACATACTACGGGGTGTTTGGATAAATGGTTTTTAGTTTATTAGCTTATTGTTTATTTGCTTATTGCGGTCCGAATAAGCATTTTTTTAAAAATGTGTTTGGATTAGCTTATTCCGGTGAGAATAAGCAATAAGCAATAACCATTTTAAGTGGTTGACAAACAAAACAACTTATATGAGTAAAATGATCAATAAGTAATAAACAATAATCATTCCCTCATTTGCTTATTAAAACCAGTTTATTTTGCTTATTCCTATCGTAATAAGCTGATTTTTAAAGAATTCATATCCAAACACTTAAACTTGCTTATAACAGTGGGATTAAGAAATAAACAGCTTATTTTTTTTTCCTATCCAAACACCCATACGTAGTCTTTTAGAGCTTTTAAAGAAAAACAAAAGGGATGTGGGTATTAGATTTAGTTTTATTTGAAATGTTCATGTTTGATTCTTGGGATGTTTTGGTTAATATGGTTTTGTAGTCCTTAGTTTAGGGTTCCTAGAATATAATGATGAAGAAGATAAATGCATGTCATTTTACATCAACGTAAAGATATAGCCCTCATACCATCTCAATCTTCTTTTCCTACGACTTTTTATTAACACTTTCAACATATTTTTAGTTGTTTGTATGTCCACTACAACAATCTTATTTTTATAACTCCATTATCCTCGTGTATTTTTTATTGGGTAAATGACATAAAAAACACTTTTTTTATACAGAAATTCGATTTTTATCCCGTGTTTTTTTTGTATCAATTTTGACACTGTGTTTTCCAATTTGTTACAATTCTGACCACTTGACCAGTTAACCAGGTTACATGCTGACGTGTCAGTTTTGATGACGTGGCATGTTGACGTGTCAAAAATGAATTTTTTTTTCTCACAAAAAACACAAGTTTTTTTTTTTTTTTTTTGAAACTAAGTTTAATTTTTTCTTTCAACTTTGACACTGTATTTTTTGTTCCAAATCGAACATTATTTTTTCCAATTTTGTTCAATGCTGATAATTTTCTATTTGAAACCGTATAAATATTTTTTTAATACATTTATACCGTATATATATGTTTTTTTTTCATTTAAAAACCATAGTTTTGTATAAATACATATTATTATTATTATTATTATTACACTCAAACCATATTTTTATGTATAAATATGTATTAGTTATATAAAAATTGTATTTTATATTAAATATGCAACTTTAAAAAGTGTTTGGAGGTTTGGAGGCGTGTAGTCGATTAAAACTCGTATATCAAGTTTGCAACCCATCAAACATTTACATCTTATTAAAAAGTTATAGTTAGTTTGATTCTCATGATATAACTAATGCTTTGAATGTAAGAAAAAAAAACACATTGTATTTAAATAAAAATGTGGTTTTTAAACGAAAAAAATATGTTTATACGGTTTAAAATGTAATAAAAAAATATATTTATATGGTTTCAAATGGAAAATAGACAAAATTAAACAAAATTTGATAAATGATGTTCGATTGGAACAAAAAAAACATAGTGTCAAAATTGAAATAAAAAATAAAATTTATTGTCAAAATAAAAAAAAATGAAAACTTAGTGTTTTTTGTGGAAAAAAAAATCAATTTTGACACGTCAGCATATCATGTCAGCATGCCACGTCAGCATGTAACCTGGTTAACCGGTCAAATGGTCATAATTGTAACAAATTGGAAAACACAGTGTCAAAATTGACAAAAAAAAAATACGGTGTCAAAATCGAATTTTTGTGTAAAAAAAATGTTTTTTATGTCATTTACCCTTTCTTATTTTATTAACAATTATAAAATTAATTAAAAGTTCATATTAAAAAATCAAAATTATTAATTAATTATTTTAAATAAGTTATTACTTAATAGATATTTTTTTAGCTACATAAAAATATAATCGTTGATTTAAATAAATACATGAAGTTATATCATCTTATAATCTGTATTAATTTTATTTTCTTTTTCAATCTAATGTTATTAATTTAATATAATTAGAGTGAGAAAAATTAAAATTTAAAATGAAGAATCAATCATTAATTTAATGTAATTAGAATGCAAAATTTAAAATTAGAAATTTGAAATGAATAATTAATAAGTTGACAAGTGGCATTATAAATAACATATAATATTAATTAGGTGTAAGACTCATGTATTATGTGAGTTAATTAAAACAAAATAAATATAAAGATCGAAATATTTAAAACTTTAGATTTATAACAAAATAAGAAAAAATAATGAATTAATAAAATTGATTTTTTTTATCTTTTAAATTTAAATAAATAAACAAAATAAACTAATAAGCTTTATTTGAGAATTTTGAAATAAGAAGACAAATCTATTAATGAAATTGATATTCATTTATTACGACATTTATTATAGTCATTAGATTAAAGTATTACGCGGAATTTATTAAAATAGAAAAACCTATAAAATGATATTTGACAAATTGAATGAAAGTGCGACATATGACAAAAAAACTTTCATTTATTATAGTAGAGATGAGGAGTTCTAAAAGAATAAACCTATTCTTCTATTAGGATAGATGTTAGAAATAGGGGATGAACAAATTGCTTTGATTCTCTGAAATTCATGATTCACTATCAAATTGAAGTATTTCGATGGTACAGACAGAACACTTAATTGGATGAAATCTAGAGAACAAAATATGAGAATGTATGTGAAATGTTCTTCAAAATGCACCAGAAAAATGACCAAAAACGGCTATATCATTCATGTCTGAAAACTGTCACTAGACAGTTACAAACTGTCATTAAAAAAAACTACCAAATCTGTCATTAAACGGATTTCAGAGAAAAAATGGTCAACTTCTAAAATCGGATTTTTGATATTTTTTTAATATAGCAACATAGTCCAAATATAAATTTTTTGCGCTAACTTGGATTCGGGCTCTGCCCTTTGGACCCCGCAAGGGGCTGCCGCCCATGGGATTCCGCTCCCAGGTGAGCTGCCCCCAGACCCCCGTTCGTTAGGGCTCGCCCCTAAATAACAATGTACTTTGAATCTTGAAAAACTTGAACAAGTGTGCACTCCTACACCATCCTAACTTGTTCAATATTCAACAAGATCATTTTTGATCAACAAATTTAATCCTATTACACTTAAATAATATTGATGATATAAAATCTCCAACAATAGGGAGATAACTGGTTTTTACATTGCAAAATTTTCCATCGATTTGAAATAGATCTTTTTGTGGCCAAATACTCAAATGTGACCACCATCCAATTTAACCAACCCACATTTATGCATTGGATAATGTCAACTTCTTCATCTCCCTTTAGGATGTAAAACTTCACAACTTGATCCATATTATATACATATGTTCCTTTTAACATTTGCTCCTAGATGAAATTATATGAACAAAATACTCTATTTAGGGGGTGTTTAACTTAGCTTTTTAAAGCCAAAAGTCCTTTTTGGAAAAGAAAAAAAAAAGAAAAAGATGTTTGGCAAATTATTTTTAAAAGCTACTTTTTGAAGTTTTTATATAAGGAAAAGGAACTTTTTGGAAAAGTCAGAAAATCCTGACCTTTTGTAACTTTTCCAAAAAGAACTTTTGGGGTTTGAAAAGCTAAACCAAACACCCCTTAATCGATGTTTATACATAACCCTTTTCTTTACGTATGGTCTTTATCTAACCAAACATTCAAGTCAATCCTAATCTTAGCGTATCAAGCATAATATCATCGGCAAAAACATATTGCAACATCTTCTCTAAGATGATTAGAATCGATATGTCTATGAAATAATAACATCTAAATCAAAAACCCTCAAAAGTCGTAGTAATGATTAGATCTACAAGTCTCGTAACAAAGATATATGGATTATCGCCCTGGTTTACGATCCAAATACGGATAAACCCGTCCCCGCCTATATCGGTGTCACAATCCGCACATCTCGATCCTTCTTTATCACGTCTGCCTGCCGTTTTCCAACTTCCAATTCCACCAATCCCCTTCCCTCTTTTTCGCTTTCCAGACAAAAAAACGATCGTCTCCAAATCCCTACTTCTAGTGGAACAGCAACTAAATTTGATCCGGGTTTGGAGCTTTTGGTTCATATTCTCGAAGATCTCGCCGGCCGGCCGTTAATTCATCATCTGCAACCGGATTTCCAGCAATGGAAGGGGCCTCGATGGGCCCATCTGAAGCTTCGGTGGCGATGTACAACCTCAAAGACGCATACAGTTTTTGGGATGTATTAAACAATTCCCCTGTTTGGCAAGATCGAATTTTTCATGCGCTTGCTGCTCTCTATGGCATCGTTTCCATCGTCGCGCTGGTGAGTTTCCAACTTTCCATTTACTTCGTTGATACAGTACGTTTTTGTACTATACTTTCTCCCATCTTCTGTTTCTAGGGTTTCCGTTTAAACCTAACGAGCTTTTCGCTGTATAACGAACAATTAATTGAATATATTGTAATCATGAGCTTTTGTTACTCATATCGAAGATCATAAAACTACTATAAACTTTTCCATTTAGATTCATGACATGATTTCGTTTTTGCATCCTTGATTACAGTTAATGATCACGCATGATTTTCGATGGTTGTAGGTACAATTAATTAGGATCCAACAAAGAGTGCCAGAATATGGTTGGACTACTCAGAAGGTCTTTCATTTCCTCAATTTCTTGGTTAATGGGGGTCTGTATATTTTTGTTATCTTTTCAAAAATGCATTTAGAAACCTTCTTCTTCTTCTTCTTCTTCAGTTTTTACTGATTATTATTATATTAAACGTGTTCCTATTATTGCAGCTAGATGTTTAATTTTTATTTTCCGTCATGATATCCAAGAATTGACACCTGAGGTTAGAATTATTCTCATTTTAATCACTTATATCCATAAATTTATCATCTTTTTCTTGAATATGTTCTTTTGTCAGATTTATCAACATATGTTACTTGATCTACCAAGTCTTGCGTTTTTCACCACCTATGCTCTCTTGATTTTGTTTTGGGCTGAAATTTACTACCAGGTTTAATTTCTATTCCTCTTTTTTTCTTCTAAAATTAAACTCTAAAATTTTATTTATTATTCATTTTATAATGATTTGAACAATCTAAAACAGGCAAGAGCAGTCTCAACTGATGGACTTAGACCAGCTTTTTTTACAATCAATGGAATTGTTTATGCAATTCAGATTGCTTTATGGCTAATTATTTGGTGGAAGCCTATCAATACTTTGGTCATACTCTCCAAAGTTTTCTTTGCAGGTTTTTGTAAAATAAATCTTTTATTCTTTTATTTTTTGAAGTTCATATTTTTTTGGAAACGTGTCACACATTTGTTTTCGCAGGTGTCTCTTTTTTTGCAGCCTTCGCGTTTCTTCTTTATGGAGGAAGGTATTTAACTATTTATTATAAAGAATCTTTTTTAATCTCGATTTTTTATGTACATAACTATTATTATTATTAATCGTTATATTATATTTCTTACTTTATGTATTATGTTGTTTAGGCTATTTTTAATGTTGAAGCGGTTTCCTGTGGAATCCAAAGGCCGACGAAAGAAGTTACAAGAAGTATGTTTTTGTATTTTTTTTTTTTTTTTTTTTTTTAAATTTGGATAGTTAAATTTATGTATTTTGTAATATTATTTATTTGTTTGTGAAGGTTGGCTACGTGACAACAATTTGCTTTACGTGTTTCCTTTTGAGATGTGTCATGGTGAGAAAGGCGTTTCACGTTTTATAATTACAAAGTGATGATTTTTACTTATTTTTATAATTATAAATTTTAAATGTTTTTATTGATGGTGACGTCAGATGTGTTTTAATGCGTTCAATGAATCCGCCAATCTAGATGTATTGGAACATCCTGTTTTGAGCTTCATCTTCTACTTGGTATGTCACTTTACTACCAGAAATAGCAATGTACTTTCATTGATTTTTTTTTTTTTTTAATTTATTTATTTATTTATTATTCTTTGACAGTTGGTGGAAATATTACCTTCGTCTTTAGTTCTGTTTATTTTGAGGAAGTTGCCTCCTAAAAGAGGGATCATACAGTATCATGCTATTCGATGAGTAGAATGAATATATTTATATCTTTTTTTTATAAATATATTATTTAATATCTTTTGTGGATCCGAGTTTTTCTAGTAGAAAAAAGGAGAATGTTACTTTTTAATTATTAAGAATGAGAAGTGTGTATGTGAATGTTGTTACGTTATGGGTGTGAAACTGAAATGTGATTGGGGCATTTGATGTTATTTGTTAAATTAAAAGGTGGCTGAATAATTTAATATGTTAAGACATTATGGCTGAATAACATTTTTGGGTTATTTATTTAAGAGAAAAAATTTCATCATATTCAGAACATTATTGTTATGTATTTTCCGCCTAATGACGTAATTCTTGAATATTATTATTGACTAATCTCTAAATGATTATCTGATTCTTCTCTAGGGACCTATTGTGATATTATAAAATAAAAGATTATGTGGTTTAAAAAAAAAAAGAGCTTTTCGTTCACCATGTTAAATATTAACATCAACAAAGATGGATTAAAACAATAATAATTTTTTAATAACCTAAATTATAGATGCTAGCCGGTCCACATGGAAAAAACAGTCTTAGGTTAGTATATTCAATTTAAATAAATTAAAAATAATAATAATGTACTCGAATGAATATCGCATTGCAAATGAGACGAACACTTCTTATTCAGATCAAACGATCATGTAAAATTAAAGATATATCTGAAAGAATTTTACAATACTCTAAACTGATTGAACACTACTATTAGTAATTTTTTAATAAGTTAAATTATTATTTTCTTTAATTACCAAAATAACATCCTTAAAAACTCTAAATATAAGCTAACTAAATATTTATGTGTAATGCTTTCTTCATATTTTGCATCTTGGACAAGCAAGATGGATTTGAACCATTGGGCCAAAAATCATCTAAACCGTGTCGAAGGCCTTGTTATAGAGTTTGGGCCAGGACCTGGCCCATAACCTGTTGATAATGGCATTTACCTTTAATATAAGTAGCAAATTAAGTAATTAGTTATTGATTAATGACTAATATAGGGATATTGAGTAACTGGTTATTGATCAAGTTTTGTGTCTTTGAAAAATAATCATTTTGTTTGGAATAGGCTGCTATTTGTTATGACAAAAAATACATTCCGGACAGGAAAAAAGTTGTTTCAGTCAATTCCAAAATCCGATGAATAATTGCCGAATTTTGAGAGGATGCTTCTAATTTTACTCATATATATCAAAATTTTAAAGACATAACTAATGAGTAGATATGATAAGATGACTTAAAATCTGACATTTGATTGAATTTCAGACATAAGTATTAATAAATTATTTGAATATATATATATATATATATATATATATATATATATATATATATATATATATATATATATATATATATAATATATATATATATATATATATATATATATATATAATCAGTGCAAAATAACCCATTTGGGTCCAAAATCGAAATGGGTCTAAAATAAGTGGTTATTTTTCGACAATACAAAAAACTTTAGTTATTTTTTTAAACAATCTTCTCCATAAAGGTTAGTTTATTTAATATTTATATTTGTAGGCGATAAAAGTTTTGTCATTAGAGCGTATGTTCTACAAGATTAAAATTACTTATCAGTTTTATGTTGATAACAATTGTCATTGTTTTGGCTTTTTGGGTCCTACTACTTTGCAATTTCATCCCTACTCACAACGAACGAGTACCGATAGAGTGGGCTACAAGCATTAACCTTATCTACCAAACCAAAATTTCATATCATTGTTTACTTTATAATATACATTGAACGTAAATCTTATCTTTAATTTAGAGTCCATTGTTGAATCGATGAACACACCATAGACACCACATTAATAAGAAACTTCCTTGGCCATTCATTTATTCATGCCCATGTTGTTTGACCCCTACCTTTGTTCTAGTAGTGGATTTCGGGTTATCAATTTGCTCTAATAATGCTACAAAATGATAGGTGTTTTTGAGGGATAATGACTTAAAAAGGTAATGAAATTTAAAAAATATACAAAAAAGACCATTGTTCCTTTTAATACACAAAATATCGTTAAAATATATTTTTTATACACAAAATATCAACGAAGTACACACATGTTCAAATAAACCCTTGTGGTAACCGGTTACCTCAGACAACGGAAAAATGACTTAAAAATGTACCAAAGTTTAAAAAATGTTCAAAAAATACTATTATTTTTTTTAGTATAAAAAATACCCTTGAAATATATCATTTGTACACAAAATACCAACAAAGTACATATTTTGGTACAAAAATACCATTGAAATTTCCAAAATGTTCTAAAAGATAACCATTGTTGTTTTTTCAGAGCACATTTTGTTAATTTCGTTGTTTCTGGATTATATAGAACATAGTCTTCAGAGATTAGTCATCGTGGTTCCAGTTCACACCAGTTGTGTACTCTCTTTCATTCCATCACTCAATCAGTTTGTATCTAAATCCATATTTAAGAATTCTCATGACATAACGTCACACTCGTTTCTCCTTTGTGTCTCTCTTGTGCCACAACACTAATGAACGACTAACCTTGATGTATAATATATGCATCTATATAACGTATATATGTTTTAGGTTTGAGGCATATAATGTGATCGGGAAGCAAGAATGTTTAAGGTTATTACCCACTTACTTATCTTGTTACCACAAGAACGATCGAGTGAAGGAATAAAAGATATTTGCACAATTGTTGTGAACTGATATGACGGTTCATGATCTCCAGTGATTGTGTTCTACATAATCCGACAACAACACAATTAACAAAAAGTATGGTATTTTTTAAACATTTTGGAAACTTCGTTACACTTTTAATTTTTCCATTTACCTGAAGTACCTGGTTACCACAATGTTTTAGTTGAACACATATGTATTTCGTTGGTATTCTGTGTACAAATAGTAACATTAATGGTATTTTTTGTACTAAAAAACATCAATG